GTTTGAGGCCAGCCTGGTCTACAAAGTGAGTTCTAGGACAGCCAGGACTATTACAGAGAGAAACCCTGTCTTGAAGGAAAAAAAAAAAAAAAGAAGAATTGCTATGGTCATGGTGCTTCTTCATAACAATAGAAACCCTAACTACAACAATCAGCTAAGCTTAACATTGTATATTATGGAACCTGAAGAAAGGAATTTGCCTTTTGGAACTAACACTGCCATTATCATGTAGCAAGTGAGGAAGCTACCATAAAAATGGTTAGCTATTGCTATTTTGCCTTCAGTTAATGTCTAATTCCTAGGACACCCAGCTTGTAGAGAGTGGCCTCTGTCTTCCCTCACTGACCTCGGTCAGGATATCAGCAGGAATTCCTGTAGCCATCAGGATGGTACAAAGTTGCTGCAGTAACCCGCACTGAAACATGGCCTTCTGGCAGCTGCTGGTCGCACCAGGAGGGTTGGTGGGAGACACTAGTACTCGGACAAGCTGTGAAAGAGATAAAATTTGTTTTTTAAAGATTTGCAGTAGGGCATGATGGTGCACACAAGCAATCCAAGCAGCTGGGAGGTGGAGACAGGAGGGCCAAGAGTCCAGAATAGCTTACTTGGATAAGATCCTGTCTCAGAATCATCTGTAAAGGCTTGAGACAAAGCTGGGGCATGTGAACAAAATCATCTGTTGGAACATTCCCTGTGTGCTCACCAGAGCTAAGCACTGCCCTTTTCTCCTAAGGCAACAGTGTTAGTACATATTATACTTTTGCTATTTGCTTAATGTTGTCCCTTACAGATGATCTGAACTCTCACAAAATAGCACGTACTTTAGTCATTTCTGTACTCAAATAACAAACATAGTATTTACAAACTAATACATATTCAATACAAAACTGAATTGAGGTACAGGATGGCAGGCTTCTGTCAAAGTGGGAACTATCTAATTACAGAGTGGGTCTGAAAGCCCACCGGCCTCCCCTGACACTGGAGATAGGATAAAGCTAACAGCTAAAGGCCTGACAGAAGACCCATGCACTAGGCGGGGCCACTCTCATTAATTAAATCCCTATAATCCCATGATTACTCTGAACCTGAACACCAAGTTTCAGAAACAAACAACTATTTAGGCCCAATTACATCTTAAAAAAAAAACTAAACAATGGCTTACATTTTTACAAAATAGTCATATGTTTTATATGCAAAAACTGTCTATACCTAAACATATTATTTATGACAAAACTTATTTAACAAGAGTGCCAGATGAATGTCATCTATGACTTTATAGGAGATATGCTGAAGTAATCAATTAAAACACTAGCATTACTATAGACAGGACTATTATAAATACTGTTTCCCTAATAAAGAGGACTTTTGAGTCTGGCGTTGGTGGCACACGCCTTTAATCCCAGCACTTGGGAGGCAGAGGCAGAGGCAGCGGATCTCTGTGAGTTTGAGGCCACCCTGGTCTCCAGAGAGAGTTCCAGGATAAGCTCCAAAGCTACACAGAGAAACCCTGTCTCTAAAAACCACAAAAAAAAAAAAAGAAAGAAAGAAAAAGAAAAAAGAAAAAAAAAAAAAAGAGAGGGCTTTTGGAGAAGGACAGAGGGACAATGAGTTAATTAAAAAAAAAAAGTTTGAAAGTTACCTTTTGCTAGGTGTGGTGGCACACCTGAAATCTCAGCACTTAGGAGACAGTCAGGCCAGGGACACATAGTGAGGAGGGAGAGAGGGAGACAGACAGACAGACAGACTGCAGGTGCTCTAAAAAGACCAAATGTGGCTGCAAAGTCATGAACTCAACTACTCCATCTCTGAGGTGGAGAAAATACTATGATGACAGAATTTCAGTTCCTTTGCCTTGGAGTCTATGGTCTTCACCAAGCATGTGAAAGGGACATTTCAGTGACGGAGGCAAGGCAAGTTTATCCACTTGTTTTGTTTTTCAAGACAGGGTTTCCCTGTGTAGCACTGGCTGTTCTGGAACTCACTCTATAGACCATGCTGTCCTTGAACTCACTGAGATCTGCCTGCCTCTGTCTTCCAAGTGCTGGAATTAAAGGTGTGCACCACCATGTACTAGGGAAATTCCCAGGAATCCAAGAGGATGACCCCAACCAAGAATCTAAGCAATAATGGAGAGGGCTAGTAGCCTTTCCCCTATAAAGAGAATGATGACTACCTTAATTGCCATCCTAGAGCCTTTATCCAGTAACTGATGGAAGCAGATACAGAGATCCACAGCTAAACACTAAGCTGAATTCTTGGAGTCCAGTTGGAGACAGGGAGGACTGATATCATGAACAAAGGGGTCAAGACCATGTTGGGGAAACCCACAGAAAACAGCTGACCTAAGCAGGTGGGAGCTCACTGACTCCAGACTGACAGCTGAAGAGCCTGCATAAGAACTAGGCCCCCCTGAATGTGGGTGTCAGTTGGGGCTGGAGGGCTGGGCAGTCTATGCGGCTACTAGCTTCGGAACCAATATTTATCCCTAGTGCACGAATGGGCTTTTTGGAACCCATTCTCTAAGGAGGGATACTCTCTCAGCCTCAATACAGTGGGGAGGGCCTTGATCCTGCCCCAAATGAAGTGACAGATTTTTTGATGATCCCTCATGGGAGGAATCACCCTCTCTGTGGAATGGATGAGGGTGGGGTGGGGAGATGATGGGGGCATGGGAGGACAAGAGGGAGAGGGAACTGGGACTGGTATGTAAAATAAGATTAAAAAAAAAAAAAAAAAAAGGTTTACCTCTCCCCTAAAAGCAACTGAAACCCCGGGTTTAGCAAACAGAAGCAATTTTCTTTTCACTGAAAGGATCCCTGACAAGATTCTATCACAGTGATGTCTGAGGACCACATACCTGTAGCATCAAATGTAGATTGGTCACTTTCTGTGCTGACCAACCAGAATTTTCATCTGCAACTTCAAACCAAGGTTTCATACGTTGAATATATGAGCCTTCCTTAAAAAAGTTTTGATTGGAATTGTTGTTCTTTAACAAGTTTTGAAGTAAGATCAAACAATCTTCTACTACTATACCTAGGGAAAGAACGTAAAATGGCGGCATTAAGGCTGATAACACCTGAAAGAAGTCAACCCAATGTTCTAAAGAGTGCATCTCCATGGTCAGTATGGCACAGTATGGCCTGTTCTGACCCCTGCCTTCCACCTGCCTCTGTCTGTGCGCTCTTTCTCAACCCACAGTGACTTCTTGACTTGTATGTCCAACCCACTATAGAAAGTCATCTTTCATGTTCACACACAAGCTTAAATACCATGTTCTCAGTACTGATGGTCAAGACCCAGGGACTAGGTTAGACTGCCATACACAGCCTTCTCATACACTGCCTTCTAGAAGCTTGTTCTTTCCACTACATTATAATTCTGCATTCCTGGCAGAGACAAGGAACAAGATTTCAGATACATACAAAATAGCACAGTATTAAATATTTATTGACTGACTCTATCACACCTTATGTGATCTCTAAGACCTATCGGACACTTGTCTCTGCCTCTTTTTCAATCTGGCCACTCAGGCTATTTTCCACTGTTTCATCCTTCTCCTACTTGGCTTACAAATACCATTATCATGTGCAGTTTCACCCACAGTACAGCTTCTGTTATTATCTCAGTGAAAACCTTCCCACTGACCTATACCAAGTGCTAAACAACCAAGGGTTCCTGCTTCCTCTTGTAAAGTAGAGTGTACAAGGCGCTCACTGCTCTAGGCCCTAGTACATACACACCTTTGGTCCTGCTAGATTTATGTTCAGTGTGGTAAATGTACTTGCTGATAAGCCTGATGACCTGAATTCAAGCCCCAGGACCCGCATGGTAGAAGGAAGACAACTCCTGAAAGCTGTCTTGATTCCCACACATGTGCTGTGGCACTAAACACACTAAATACAGAGATGTGAAGAAAATCAATCTACATAGCTGCTTCCTAGAGCAGCTTACAGTTAGAGAACCAGGACAATAAGCAGCTTCCACCTCTCTCCTCCCCTTAGTCCCTCATTATCATCATGCAGTAGTGTGGATGATGATGGCACATAGTGCTGAAGATCACAATTCACTCTTCATGCTGCAAAAAGTTTTGACAAACGTAGAATCTGAGAGTTTGCCATTACAGTACCAAACAGAACAGCTTCATCACTAAAACTACCCTGTTTCTCAGCTTTCCCCTATCCAGATGCCAGCCAACTGCCTCTACACTCGTTCCCAGAAAGCTGCTAAACTGGAATCATTCAGCAGCATGTACTTAAGGTTCCCCAACACCCTTCTGTAGCTTGATGCCTTTTATTTTGGAGTAAGATCCAATTTTCTGAACCATTAGCATTTATCTATTCACCTACTCAAAGACATCCTGTTTTAGCAATAGGAATAAGGTGTCTATGAACATTCAAGTCTAAGTTTTTGTGTGGATATAAGTTTTAACATAATGTGGACAAATATGAAGCAGCATTACTATTAGATCACACAGCAACATTGTGTTTAGCTTTGTAAGGAACTGCCAGTGTCTTCCACACTGGGTGCATCCTCTCCAGCATCTTTCCACACTCTCAACAGCATCTAGGAGAGTTAGAATACTGGATGTTCACCACTGCAATGGTGGGCAGTGGCGTCTCATCATTTCTATTGCAACTGCTTAAAGATGTGATGCTGAGCATTTATCTGTATGCTACTATAAACTGTAACCTCTTCTTTTTTTTAAAAAAAAAAAAAAGATTTTATTTATTTATTTATTTATTATGTATACAACATTCTGCTTCCATATATATCTGCACATCAGAAGAGGGCACCAGATCTCATAACGGATGGTTGTGAGCCACCAAGTGGTTGCTGGGAATTGAACTCAGGACCTCTGGAAGAGCAGTCAGTGCTCTTAACCTCTGAGCCATCTCTCCAGCCCCTGTAACCTGTTCTTTAATGAGGAATCTGTTCACATGTGATGACTTTTAAATTTGCTTTTCTTTTCACTATTAAGTTTTCAAGTCCTTTTTCAGATACAAGTTTTACTAATATTTTCTTCCAGCCCATGCCCTGTTAGTGAATTTGATTAATAGTGTCTTCTATAGAACACAATTTAGCAAATTTTTCTTTTGTTTTGGTTTTATGGTTTTTTAAGACAGGGTTTCTCTGTATAGCAGTTCTGGCTGTCCTGGAACTCACTCTCTAGAACAGTCTGGCCTCGAACTCACAGAGATCAGCCTGCCTCTACCTCCTGAGTAATGGGATTAAAGATGTGCACCAGCTTACAACTTCTCAATTTTAATAAAGTCCCATTCATCAGGTTTTTTTCCTCTTAAGGATCATGCTTTTGGTACTGTATCTAAGAGTCTGCTGCTTTGTTTTACACCACACTATCTACAATGGTTATTTGCACACATCATCATGCCTGGCTCAATTAAAATATTTAAACTCAAAGGAAAGCAAGTTTGGCTCCAGAATGTTCAATTTTGCTGTTTTATGGGCTTCCCTGAGATTTTCAAGTATTCAACCAAATGCCTTTCTCCCTTTTTAGAGATTTACTTTGTCTTCAGGACATAAAGCTATAATCCTAGCACCTGCAGGCCAAGGCAAATTATCACATTGAAGGGCAGCTTGAGCTAATGAGTAAGATACTGATGGTTTAGAAATGTCTGAGGTCAAGCTTGCTCCTGCCTTAAGTTCTTTCATTCTGTAAAGAACAGTGCTGTGCCTTGCCCAGAGAGACTTCATTTTAAAGCAGCCTTGACTCCATTTTGAGGCTGGAAAGCCACTCTGCACCCAGGACAACAGGTGAAAAACACCCTCTTTCTAGCTTCCCCCATGAGGCACAGACATGTTCCTGGGAGTAGGAGGGGCCCCCATACATTTACTAGGGTGAACTAGTATGTGTGGGGCACATTGGTATATTAAGATCATTTCAGGAAAACAAAGTCCAAGAATTTGTCAGGCACCAATATGATGGATGACTCAGTGGGTACAAGTGCCTGCTCTGCAAGCCTGGAGCTTACGTTCATCCCTGGATCCCACCTAAAGCTCCAAGAAGAGAAACTACTCCATCCACCAGCACCCACTGTACCACACACAGGTGCAGCCCCTCCTCCACCACCACCTGACCCACTGGAAGACACACAGGGGGAGCCCCCCCTCCCCCACCAGCACCCACTGTACCACACACAATTTTTAAAGAACTCATCAGACACACCAAACCAAGAAAAAAGTTTGACTCCCCATAAAGCAGTGGATACTTAATACTTGGACAGTGATTATCTCACTCATTTGTCATCTGACCATCCATTATATGCCTCAAAAATGAACAAAGAACTTCTAACTGTCCCAGCGGCTTCAAGTCTACTTGGTCCCTGCTGTTGACAGTCTACTGTAAGTGACATTTGCTTGTTCTGCTGTCTGAAACTGCTGTCCACTTATCTGTAAAGACAATCCCTTCACCTTACTCCTGCAGCTCAACTCTGATACTGTAGTTCCATTCTAAAGTCAACACCAGAAGCTGCAACTTCTCCAGTTTTTTGAGAAGCTCAGTTCGGTCATTACCATTTTCATACAGACTCCATTTTCTATCAGCTTTCCTGACTTCTAAAGCCTCTTAACCCTGCTGTAGCCCCTTAGCTCTATGTAGTCCACATCTACACATATACAGATACATTTACCAAGTGATGTACAATGTGTGATCTGTCAGTTAGTCTTAGTAATTAAGATGTCAATAAAAGAACCTGTGTTGGCAAAGTGGGAGTATCTGCAAGTTGATGCTTCTGAAACTGCAATGCCCTGGGAGTTGATTGTTAGTCAAGAAATTCTGACACCGAGGAAGATGTGAATGTACTCATCTGTATTCTCACACAGGGCTCTCACAAGACAGACTCCTGTCTTCTTCCCTACCTAGCTTAGATACTCAGAGATCTTCATTTCTATTCAAGAAAAAATGTGCTAAGAACTCTTGACACTGACTTTCAAGGCCCACACCCTGGCAAAGGCTGCCATTGTGTAATCAAGCCTATATACTGCTATAAAACTAAGGTGACTACTCCGATGGTGAGTGACCACAAAGCAGTCTTCAGACAGTCTCTCACTCTTACCTCCATCACTGTTCCCCTCATCTGTAATGATGTCCAGCAGCCTCTCAAAAGCATTTTCAAAAGCCACAATTTTCTGGATTGCTCCATTGCTCCTTGTTAAGGCCTGCAGCAGTAGGACACCCTTATGGAGAACAAAGATGACATTTAGTTGTGTACAAACTTTACTGGACACCTAGAAATTACTTTAGAATCACAGAAGCCTGTAATACACAGGATTTTACAAGTCCAACTGCATCTATCTATCTATCTATCTATCTATCTATCTATCTATCTATCTATCTATCTATCTATCTGAACACAGAGGGCAGAGTTCAACAATTTGCTTTTCTGAAGGTCAAGATCACAGGAGGACAGAGCCTTGGTAAGAGTACATATCTAACAGGTTCTTTTTACTGTATATGGTAAAAATGCAATTACTTCATACTCATCCATCACCATGCAGTTTCTATAAGCTGAGAGTGATTACTCTCAGACTTAGGCTTCTTAAAATCATAATAGTACAAATCATCAAATTCTACCGCATTCTAACAGAACTTCTACAGAGTTCAGGAATTCTGACAATGCCTGACCCCAAATTCTCACAATGTGATTTTAAATCAACAGAAAAAGAAAATGAAAATTCATGTGTCACAAATAGTAGTAATGGATTATTAGTAGATTATTTTCCTCTTATGCTAAATAGGTCAATAGAAATTAAAAATACAGGTATAAAACATAAAACCAAGATGTTATATGTTACAACAAAAATAAAACTTAATCTCTAGTCATAAAATTAACAAAAGCCAACAGAGACAATCATCCTATCTGTCTCAAATAAAAACCAAAGCCAGGAGTTAGAAAAAGGCCAAAAGTTAGAGGACAATAGATTTAAATCTGATGGGGGTGGGATCACAGAGGGTACTGGGTAGAACAGATTTGTGGTGGTTTGAAAGAAAATGGCCCCCATAGGGAAGTTACTATTAGGAGGTGTGGTTTTGCTGAAGTAGGTGTGGGCTTGGAGGAAGTGTGTCACTGTGAGGGCAGGCTTTGAAATCTTATATATACTAAAGCTATACCCAGTGACACAGCTGCTTCTGCTGCCTGTGGATCAAGATGTAGGACTCTCAGCTCCTTCTCCAGAACCATGTCTGCCTGCAGGCCACCATGAAGATAATGGACTAAACCTCTGAAAATATAAGCCAGCCCCAATTAAATGTTTTCCTTTATGAGAATTGCTAAAGTCATGGTCTCTTCACAGCAATACAGTATCAAGGCTGCATGAAAATGTAATAGTTTTATTTTGTACAATGAATATATGCTCTAAGAAGGAATTAAAGAATCAAGGTAGGGGCTGAAGAGATCACTTAGAGGTAAGAGCACTGCCTGCTCTTCCAGAGGTTCTGAGTTCAATTCCCAGCAAGTACATGGTGGCTCACAGCCATTTATAATGAGATCTGGTGCCCTCTTCTGGCCTGCAGAGATACATGCAAGCAGAATACTACAGTACACATAATAAATAAATAAATCTTTAAAAAAAAAAAAAGGAATCAAGGTAGGCATCTGTTCAAAAGCCATTTTATATCTGAAAATCAAAACAAATTCTGATTATATGAACAAAAGCTTAGCAGAAGAGAATGTCTTCATCTGATGGTTCAACAGCCTCTTATTTAAACTGAAAAGAAACTTGAGTTTAAGGTACATAGTTGTATTTTATTTAGTTTAAAAATCTATTTATGTGACTATGTATATGTGTGCCTACTTGTCTGTATACATATCATACAAGCACCTGTGGAGGCCAAAGACAGCATCTGATTCATATGAACCAGAATTATAGCTATGATGAGGCTATTGATGTGGCGACTGGGAACCAAACCCTGGTCCTCTGTAACAGAAGCAAATACTCTTAATTGTTGAGCCACATCTCTAGCTCCTATAGTTACATTTTAGTTATGGAAAAGCATCCTAAATTATTCCTAGTAGATGGATGTTCATTTAAATAAGATGGTTCTTAAAAAATATATAAAGCAGATATAGAAACATATGTCTGTAATGCTGGCATTCAGGAGGGAGGCTCAAATTTTAAGTCCAGGCTGGGCTACAGAGTAAGATTCTGTGCCAAGACAAACAAACAAACAAATAAAAAGATGTAAAACTTTTTTTTTTTATTGGTTTTTTGAGACAGCGTTTCTCTGTAGCTTTGGAAGCTGTCTTGGAACTCGTTTAATCCTGAGTGCTGGGATTAAAGGCGTGAGCTACCACTGCCCAGCCAAAACTGTAAAACTATTTAAATATTAAATAAAGATTTATTTCTTATAAGTTATATTATAGCAATTTACTATCTATAATACTGCTTTGCCATACATACTACAAAATTTATGTTTTTATTTTATGTGTGTGAGTGTTTGTCTGACTCTATGTATGTGTACCCTTTACATGAGTGGTGCCTGCAGAGGTGCTGAATGCCTTGGAACTGGGGTTAGAGATGGATGGATATGAGATGCCACCTGGTGCTAGGAACTGAACCTGAATCCTATTCAAAAGCAGAAAGTACTCTTAACTGCTGAGCCATCTCTAGCCCCACTATAACAAGATTTAAATGTTAAGTTTAAAAAATGTTATTTATTATAAAATATATATTGCTATATATAAGACATATAAGCTGGGTGTTGGTGGTGCACACCTTAATTCCAGCACTTGGGAGGCAGAGGCAGGGATTTCTGAGTTTGAGGCCAGCCTGGTCTACAGAGCAAGTTCCAGGAAACACTGTCTCAATAAACAAACAAATAAATAAAATACACATTTGTGTGTGTATGTGTACCACATATCACATAGACCACAAGTCAAGGGTTTGGTTTAGTCCTGTTTCTGTTTTGCATTAACCTGTTACAAAATCATATGCAAATATTAAAGTACAAACTAGAATGGAAAATGACTACACAATAGTCACAATCTATAGTTAAAGAGATTTTCAGTGAAAATCCTTTGGACATATATTCAATGAATAAGAATGAAGAGGCAGGCTGGGGGGTAGAACCATTTAATGTCTCAGAAGACAATTTCTGAGGTGGAATTCTATGTGAGCGTTTCAGAAGACCATGGAAGAAAGCTTAAACATATGTAAGTAGTAAATTTGAATTGCAAAATGGTTTGTCTAACTCTAAATACTCCATAGGCAGAAGACCAAAAAAAATGCAAGTTTAAAAGGTCTAAATGATTGGTCATCACCCCAATTTTCCAAAACTAACTTTTCTTAACTTTTAAGGGTAAAAAAAAGATTTCATTTGCAAAGAGAGAAAATAAGAATCATGTGGTTCCCCCGCCCCAAACTGAACTTACATCATTACGTATAATTTCTCTGGAATCTGCCAGTAAGTCCATCAGTCTTGAAACACCTAGAACACACAATCGTGAGAAAAATACAGGCAGACTAAAAATGAGAACAGTTACTTAAATGACAATTTATTAAGGCACCACTTGAGTCACTTCTCCTAGGAAGTGATCCTTACTTTTTACTCAAGATTACACAGGGGAAGTCACTTACCCATGGGACTGACTAAGATAATCTGCTGCACTGGAGGCCCTAATTGTTTTAAAAGAGAAGTCAGGAGTCTCACGCCAGGCCAACGGACATGGAAATCAAATTCCTGCAAGGAAGAATGTCAACTGTTTAACAACTATAGCTCATTATTTTCAACTAACAGAGCAATGAGAAACTAAAAGTGAAAAATAGAATTTCAGTAAACTTTAAAAATGAATTTTAAGAAATAAAAAGCAATATGAGTTGATGTTAATTGACTAAATCACTAAAGTATGATAAAATACTTTGCAAAACTAGAAATAAGATGCATATATACTTTTAATAGATTACATATTTCCTATAGCATGCATATGGCTCCCTCACGTGCATTCAAAAAGCATGATACAATAAACTTTACTCCATTTAAAGTGTGTACATATTACTTCCTCAGTAACATCCACAAAGGCATCAAAAGCAGCCAGCTTATTAACATGACTGAATGTCAAGGTTCCCTATTTACCTCCAACAGAGACAACAGGAGAGTGACATTTTCTGGCTGCTTGATGAAAATTTCTGTGAACTGGCTTCCCAAATCCTCAGTCTGTCTTGCAGAATTTTCTTCTGTAACATTCAAAAAACAAAGTACTTCAACATGACACTATGTTAAAGTATCCTTTCACTGAAGAGTTAAACAGAAATGAACATTTTTCTGAATGTAAACAAGTCAACAGTATGGCTGGTATCAGTAATACAATTAAGAGTGAAAACTGTATTTGTAAATTTACTTTCAGGGCCAGTTAGATTTCATATTTCCTCAAAGACATCAGGTTAGACTTTTATTAGGATAAGGGAATTGTTTAGGGTGACAGAAATACTCTGCATGTGGTAGTGTTTTTTTTTTGGTTTTTTTTTTTTTTTTTTTTTTTTTTTTTTTTTTCAGTGCTGGAGTCTGGACCCAGGTCTTTGTTTACAGCATGCAAGCACTTAACCATAGTGCCACATCCCAAACACTACTGAGTTCTTCTGTCTAAACATCTATGACTACACAACTTCTATGAGCGAGCTTTATTTTAAATAAATTATATCTCCAAATCAGTATATCTCAAAATAGTAGTCATTGATGATTTTTACTTGTTAGTGTAATTTAATTATAAAATTAAACCAGTCATCTTCAGATCATCCAGTATTGTCTTCATACAGAACCAAAAAAGATTTGGCAACAAAAGCAGAATTTAACATTGAATTTCTCTACAATATTTAGTATTAAAATGATTAAATTTTATGGACCTGAGTGGTACTGCACTCATGAGGCTGGGGCAGGATGATGGCCTTGAGTTTGTCACAGCAACTGAATGAAACTAGAACAAAAATAAGTACTAGGAGTAGGGTGTTATAATAAACCTAACCATGGCTTTTATGCCTTGGACTGGTTTTGTTAGAGGATTGTGGAGGACTTTGGAACTTTGGGTTAGAAAAGTCATCCAACCTTAGCAAGCCATTCATTCTTGTGGGATGTTGAAACATACTAATGCTGAAAGAAAGGCAGACAATGCCTGTGAGGTTTCACAGGGGAGCAAAGACTCTATTAAGGCAGTTTGTGACATTTTGAATTCAACTAGAGAGGATAAGAGATGCTCAGCAGTTAAGAGCACTTGTTACTGTTGCAGGGACCTGGATTTGGTTCCCAGAACCCACATGGTGGTTCACAACTATCCATAACTCCAGACCCTAAGTTCCAAGGGATCCAATGTCCTCTTCTCACCCCCCTTGAGCATCAGGCATACATACATGCAGGCAAAACATTCATTCAGATATAATAAAAATACCCCCCCAAAAGGAACAACAGATCTGCATGTACTGATCTGTTGGGGCTGAATAATTAGCTGTGATTAACAAGAGGTCAGAACCACTGTGCTTCACTGGGCAATGGCATGCTGGTCTGATAGGGCTGAAAGGTCAGCTGTGACTGATAAGACATCAGCTTCACTGAGGTGAAATCTGCTCCATTGGAACAACAAATATTTACTTAGGGTCAGTACTGAGAAGCTGTGGTCTAAGGAGGCTGGCCCAGCCTGCATCTCAAGCTGACAGGAAAATGCAGCATGGTGTAAGAGTCCCTTCATGGTACTGGTTTTGTAGGCATGAGAGATGAAAGATGAGAGTGGGGCTTGAGGGAGGGTGTCACAGAAAGCAGTTTAGGTCTAGCACTCAGCTCACTGTGGTTGGCACTGTCCCCTGAGCAGGTAGTCCCAGGCTGCATTTTAAAAGCTAAGCATGGGCAGGAACTAGCAAGCAGTATTCTTCCATGGTTTCTGCTTCAACTTCCCACCATGACTTCCTTCAGCGATAAACTGTGACTTGGGCCAGGTGCATGCCTTTAATCCCAGCACTCGGGAGGCAGAGGCAGGCAGATCTCTGTGAGTTCAAGGTCAGCCTGGTCTCCAGAGTGAGTGCCAGAATAGGCTCCAAAGCTACACAGAGAAACCCTGTCTCGAAAAACCAAAACAAACAAACAAACAAACAAACAAACAAACAAAAACTCTTCCATTGGAAGTGAAAGCCAAATAAACCCTCTCCTCCCCTAAGTGTTTTTGATCATGATGTTTGTTACAGCAACAGAATAAACATATAAAAAAGCTTAAATCTTAACAAAAAAGTTGATAAAAATTGATCTAGTCAAATTTCAGTAGTCATGAACTAGAAGCAGCTCAATGCCCACTAAGAAAAAGGATTTAAAGTCGAATATTGGAGCTGTGGAGATGGCTCAGTGGTTAAGAGCACTGGCTGCTCTTCCAGAGGACCTGGATTCAATTCCCAGCACCCACACGTTGGCTCATGGCTCTTTATCTCCAGTTCTAGGGGATCCTATGCCCTCTTCTGGTCTCCACAGGAACCAGGCATGCAAGTGGTATATAGACAAGCATAAGATAAAAGTAAATAAATAAGTAAATTAGTAAGCCAGTCATAGAAGGGAAAATGTACCGATTTCATGGGCTCATCCTATATGACATTTTTTGTTAATTTAAAAAGTTATATTTAACTTTTCGTTTATATGAATGAGTGTTTTGCCTGCATGCACCATGTGTGTGCTTGGTGTTTTGAAACTAGCATAGCATAATGAATGGTTGTGAACCACCAGAAGTGCTGGGAACCAAATTTGGGTCTTCTACAAAAAGCAACAAATGCTCTTAACCCCTGAGCATCTATCTCTCCAGCCTGTGAGCTGTGTTTTTAAATGCTGAAATATTTCTATGTAGGTAATTCCAAATTATTAACCTACATGTTAAGCCTTGGTGAGCTGTTCAAAATACAGGAAGGATAGTGGGGCATGGTAACATGTATCTGCTGGAAGCAAGAGCCTAGAGGCAACTGTCCTGACAAAAGAGACAAGCAGCTTCTCACTGCAGGCTTCTCAGCGCTCATCGTCCTCGTGGAATTTTGTGGGGAAACACTGCATGCTATATTTATCTAACTTTGGACTTTTTTTTTTTATACAAGACAATTTTTAGAACCCTTGTGCATATTCAGGAATGCAGGCCAAATAAAAGGGTTAATGCAATGCTTGCACCAAACATGAGAAAATAACCTATCAAGAAATAGTTAATAATATCCTTGATTTATTCTGTAACTGTAGCATATAAAATACTGTACCTTATTATCAATTTGACTCTACATTCTGAATGCAACTAGTGTGTGGTTTAATATTATCTAAGACCCTGTCTGAACCAGGGTTTCTACTGCTGTGATAAACAAACAAACAAACAAAAAACTATAACCAAAAATAACTTGGGGAGGAAGGGATTTATTTCAGCATAAAATTATAATCCATCATGAACATAAATAAGCCAAGCAAGAACCTGGAAGCAGTAACTGAAGCAGAGTCCATGGAAGAACACTGTTTACTATCTTGCTCTGTCTGTCTTCTTTCTTCTTATTTTTTTATTTCTTGGGACATGGTTTCTCTGTGTAGCCTTGGCTATCCTGGAACTTGCACTGTAGACCAGGCTGGCCTCGAACTTACAGAGATCTGCTTGCCTCTGTTTCCTGAATGCTGGGGTTAAAGGTGTGAGCCATCACTGCCTTAAACACTCTTACACATTCCAGGACCACCTGCCCAAAGGTGGCACCACCACAATGGCTGCCCCACCCACACCCCCCACCAATCACCAACCAAGAATAATACTAATCACCTATATTCTTGCCTACAGGACAATCTTTTTTTTTTCCTCCGAGACAGGGTTTCTCTGTGTAACAGTACTGGCTGTCCAGGAACTCACTTTGTAGACCAGGCTGGCCTCAAACTCATGGAGATCTCCCTGCCTCTGCCTCCCAAGTGCTGGGACTAAAGGCGTGTGCCACCCACTGCCCGGCTGGCTCTACAGGCCAATATTATGGAGCCTTTTTCTCAATCAAGTTCACTCTTCCTAGACATGTCTAGGTTTGTATCAGCTTCACAAAACCAACCAGGACAACCATCAACCTTAAAAAGAAAAAAAGTGCATACCTTTAGTCCCAGCACTCGGGAGGCAGAGGCAGGCGGATCTCTATGAATTCGAGACCAGCCTGGTCTACAAGAGCTAGTTCCAGGACAGCCTCCAAAGCCACAGAGAAACCCTGTCTCAAAAAAACCAAATCACAGCCCTAAGTCAGCATTTCCAGGATTTATTTTTTAAAAATTTATTTATTTTTGTGTGCACTGGTGTTTCACCTGCATGTATGTCAGTATGAGGTACCAGATCCCCTAAAACTGGAGTTACAGGCAGTTGTGAGCTGCCATGTGGGTGCTGGAAATTAAATCTAGGTCCTCTGGAAGATCAGCCAGTGCTCTTAACCAATGAGCCATCTTTCCAGCTCCAAGATTTATTTATTTATTTTTATTTTATGTGCATGGTTGTTTTCTCTGCATATATGCCAGAGTGCCATATGCATGCAGTGCCTAAAGAGGCCAGAAGAGGGTGTAAGATTCTGTGGGACTGCAGTTACAGAAGGTCGTGAGCCACCACTGAGAACTGGGAAAAAGGGCCTGAGGTTCTTAACCTCTGAACCATCTCTCCAGTCCCACCAGTTGCAAACTTTAATGGAATGCCCTCAAACTAACTAAGCAATAGTACATAAAGCTTTTAGTGGTAAAGTAAAATTGTTAAAACTATTAAATTAATCATATCTAAAAGTTATAAATCAAAACTACAGCCGTAAGAAATTTTATCTAACTTGGCCTGGTGGTATACACTTAATCCCAGCACACTGGGAAGGAGAAGCAGGCACATCTCTGAGTTCAAGGTCAGCCTGGTCTACATAGTAAGTTACAGGATAACCAGAGCTATGTAGAAAGACCCTGCCTTAATAAAACAAAACAAAACTATATCTATTATACAAAGGCATGAGATGAATCATCTTGTCACACTGGTATACTTATATCACAGTTGAGTTTATCTCTTTAATCTTAGTTTAAATATTATATGCAACACTCTCTCTAACCTGTAAAAATAGGTGATCCCTTAAATAAGTGGGGAAAAAAGTGACCCATTGTTAAAGCAAAGATAAACCTAAAACAGAAGAGTAAAATCAAAGACTAGTCCATGTGTGTGGTGTGTGTCCCACTACTTTCCAGGTCTATTTAAACAATTAGCTTTTAACTAAACACACAGATATGCTTGTTCTTAAAATTTATTTATAAGGGTATGCTTTTTTTCCTGAAGTGAAAACTGTTTAAAAAACACTGTGGGACCTTTTAATGAACTCCACACCAAGTTCACAATCTATACTCTAGAGAACAAAATTGCTGCATAGAAGGAGGCGATCTAAAGCAGAGCATGGTGGCATATGCTTGTAATCTCAGCACTCGGAAGGCAGAGACAGGAGTATCACTGCAAGTTCTAAGCCAGGCTAATCTACAAAATGAGTTTCACCAGCAAGGAACACATTATAAGACCCTATCTAAAAAATCCAAGCCCTGCGCCCCCCTGCCCCCCGCCAAAAAAAAAGAAAAGAAAAGGAGATGTAGTCCTAACAAAGTGAGAACACCAAGTACTCTTTCACCTCTGTGGCCCAACAGTTAAGTAGGTATGCCTATTTTTAAATGCTTATCTCAATTGTCTATCAATCACTTATACAAATTACACAATTCTAAGTTCTAAAAAAGTAAAATGGGCCACACTTTACTCAACTGAAAAATCCATGGAATATTTAAAAACAAGAAAGGACAGGGAAGAGAGAAGACACTCTTCTTCTGTTACCATGTCATAGTGTATGAGTGACAATGGCCAGCCTTTCATATGGTTAAGGAAAGGGAAGCAACACCTACCTCGAAGGCTGCTATGAGGATTAAGTAAAATATTGAATGAAAGACTGCATACTTTAGAGCTCTACACAAATATGAGAAAATAATAATAGAAACCACAGCTCCTGATCTGTAACATTCCAAAGAAAGAGCCTGATGAGAGTCAAGGCAGTGCTTCAGAATGTTCTCATTTCAAGCAACCAACTCAAATGCCACAGAAAGTAGAAATAGTATTTTAGTAAGTTAGTTTTCTGTTAGGTATTGAAAACTGTTATTTAAAATCTACTTTAGATAATATTTCATTCATTTTTTTTGGGGGGGAGGCAGGGTTTCTCTGTGGCTTTGGAGCTGTCCTGGAACTAGCTCTTGTAGACCACGCTG